TCCAGCCTCTTCATTCGCCGCAGCTTCATTCAGCCGCCGCCACCAATCTGTCCCTCCAGCCACTGCCTCCCCTCCAGCCCTCCGCCGCCCTACCTCCAGTATCCGCCACCACTCAGCCACCAGCACCGCCCCCTCAGCCTCCAAATCCGTCGCCGTTTTTAGCTCTTCCACCGCCACCCTTTGCTGCAGCGCCGCCGTGACCCCCTCCCTAGCCTCCCTCTTCGTCAGCGCCGCTTTTTCAACCTCCATCCACCGCCTTTCCTCCTCTTTGTCCTCATCCCAGCAGCTATGCCCAGCCCCACGCCCCCCGTCTGCACTGTTCCTTCGTCTCATCAGACATTCTCAAATTATACGAGACTATTAGTCCCGTATGATTTATTCGGGGGATTAAATCATACGGGACCAGTAGTCCCGTATGTTTCAAATGACCTGTTTTTTAAAATCGACTTCTTTTTGGTCAACAGGCCAAAAAGAGGACTATTTTGCTAAATATTTAGCAAAACGGTATATTTTGCTAAATATTTAGTAAAATAGGTCTATTTTGAAAAAATTTCCAAACTCTGTGAAAGGTCTTAGGCTGACTTTCTGTCAGAAACATCACTTAAGATAGTTTTAAAATTTTAATGCATCTCTTCTACTGGACATACATGTAATGACAAGTCAATTTGAATTAACTACCATTGGCTGGATACCTATGTCATCCACCTTCTTGTAAGAACTAAAGAGAGTTTCGCATATCAATAAACAAATTAAATTGATAACACCATGAAACATTCACAAATAAATAAATAAATAAATAAATGATGCAGTTACACGCAAGATGAGGATAAGCTTTTGGTTACATCCATTGGATGGCATTAGGCAATACTCTGTTAGAATATACAACTTTCCGATCTTTTCTGATAACTTCTGTCTATGAATAACAAAGGACATCCTTTTTTTTTTTGCCTTCTAAGTGAAATTATTTATAAAATTGTGGATGCTTTATGTAGAAGTTTAAAGAACATAAAAATGTTCACTTTCATTCCGCCCCCCACCCCACCCCCACCAAAAAAAAAACAAATATAAAAAAGCCGCAACCCCAAAATTCTTTTTCATTCGTCTCTTTGAGAAAAATTTCTAGGTATTGCAGTCTTTCACACCAATCTCTACATGATAATTCATTGTGGAGATCGCTACTCACAGGTTCAACCCTATTTCGTGACAAATTCTTCTTCTGATAGTGATACTTCATTGATTGTTCAAGATTTGATTTTAAGGAAAACTGTTGATTATGTACACACACGCAATAAGGTGATGCCTATATGATTAGTTGCCTTCCAAACTAGCAGTAGTTGCATCCACTTCATGAGACAGAAAATCTCAGACGTATATGACTGATGAGCGTTGAGCATTTCAAAGATTCTATAATATACTATTGGACTTTTGTCTAGGTGAAGCTAATATATTATTCCATTTCAATTTCAAGATCTATAACACCGTCACAAAGTTGGCACATAATAACTTTTTCATGGTAGATTAATCTATGAATCAAAAGACTGTTGCAATTGATTCCTAGGCTAAATTTCATTTCGTTCTGTTTGGGGTTCTTAAAAGACTCAGTTGCGCCCTAAAATAGTGAGTGAGAGAGGGTATTATGCAGACCGTGCAGTTGGATTAGATAGGGTCTGAAGAGAGAGATAAGTTATGGGTTACAGTAAAGTTATGAGAAAAATGGAATGTTTTTCTTTTATCTGGTAGTTCCATAAGAGAGAAAAAAAGAACCTCCCAACTAGACTATACATGGTTTGGTCCTAAATTATTTCAAGACTGAAATAATGAATATAAGTACCGAAGATTGATAAAGGATTAAGCCACTGTGTTAAACATTTGTGCTTATCTCTTTTTCATTTTTCATTTTTCTTTTCTGCTATCTAGTCATTGATGGAGTACAGAGAGCAAGATCTCATTCTATACCCTACTGATATATTACTAACATCTTGCCATTACTTTTACTGCAAAAAGTTACCAGATTTTGTAATTATTTTGTTGTTTACCTTTTCTCCTCTCCCACTGAGTTGTTACATTTTTCACCAGTTGGTTTTGAGATGTGGCATATTGAATTGATAGTGGGCCTTGTTGTGTTAATAACAACTAGCCGCTATGTCTTATTGGAAACATGGCCAGGTTTCGCAGAGTCTAGTCAAACTGCAAATGGACAAGTATGGTCTCTCCTCTTTTGAAAAAAGGATTGTCATGAGAATAACTTTGTGGGTTATTTTTTCTTGTTCACTGGTTATTGGTGGTAATTTTCTCATTTTGTATTTCAGGTTCTAAGTACACTGCAGCCCTTGGATTATATTCTGGTGGCATTTCTGCCTGGAATTAGCGAGGTGAAATATTTAATTCAAGGATTTTACATTGGCACCATATACCAAATTAGCATTTATAGTGCCAATTATTGTTGCCACATGAATTATATCCTTTTTCACCGCCATCTCGCCACTACTTAGTTTATGCACTATAATGATGAGTTCTGAATTTATGTTAACTCGGGATCAATTTGTACATCTCAGGAGCTGCTTTTTCGTGGGGCTTTGCTTCCACTATTTGGACTCAGCTGGGAAAATGCCCTTGTAGTTGGTGCAGTTTTTGGAGCTCTTCATTTTGGTAGTGGACGAAAATATTCCTTTGCAGTATGGTAAATATTTTGAATGTTTGATATTTCATTTTACATTATTATTAACAAACCAACAAGATCTTACAGTATCATTAATTACTATTATTGCAAATATACCCCCCTTGTTACTTCTGTCTTTTTCTTCAACCCCAGCCAATATCTATACAGATATAAGAATTGATTACTTTATATGTTTAGGGCGACATTCGTTGGTTTTGCCTATGGCTTAGCAACAATTGTTTCCTCAACAGTAGTTGTTCCCATGGTATCTCATGCACTGAACAATCTAGCGGGGGGCATCCTGTGGTACTATACATCTAAATCCAAGGAAAAGAGTGGATAAATCTAATCACTGGTAAGTCTATATTTAGTTGTTATATAGTCCTTTGTATTATAGTCCATAGGTAAAATACTTTTCAGTTCTATTTATCTTCTCATGTTTTTGAAATAATTATAATGGCATTCCTACGTAATGCCACATACTTGATAAAATTCAAGCTTCCTAATTAGAGCTCCTCGCCTTTGACATTAAGATTTGGTTCAATTATGAGTGTTAAGAGTATAAAACTCTTAACCCTCAATTCTCATCATAACTTTGGAGTTTTGGTGTAGTGAAATGGACCTATAATATCGATGTCAATGAATACATGGATTTCATGCAGTTTTCTTGGCTTCTTGCTGTGCTAAAAAACTATCGAAAGTTTTATTACAGGGCTAATTGTTGATACACCCCTTGTAGTATGGGGGCATTGCACCATTTGTTAAACCCCCCAACCCACCCCCAAACCCAACACCCAACCCAACTCCAACCCCAACACCACCCCCCCCCAAAAAAAAAAAAAAAAAAAAAAAAAAAAAAGAAATCCTATTTGGTTAGCACTTGTACCCTGTGAACTTCAGAAGACATAGTTTCCCTCGTTAGATTGGCGCGTCACATGCTAATCACATGATAATGAGTTATTATTTTGCCTTTAAAATTAACGACGAAAAAACATTATCTGATATTTTCAGGTTAAGTGATAATAAAATAATTTAGGGGGTACAAGTGCTTCACCCCTGTGGTATAGGGGGTGTATATGGAATTAACCCTTTGTATGCACTGTTAAGGAAGGAGGAACTAGGTAACCCTGCAGAAATTGTGTATTAGACACCGGTTCAATTGTCTGGGGACAGAATGTCCTGAATGAATATTTTCGTTACATAGAAGCATTTTCATTCTTTAATTTGCTGGCTAGACATTTGAAGCAATCTCACATGACATACCTATTGCAAATGCAGATTCCCAAAGCTATTTGATAGTAACTTCATGGAGCTGGACCTCGGTAAACTCGAAGTGCGAGCGCATCAGAAACTACTGTACCCATAGTCGACGATGAACGAAATACTGCTTTGGGTAGTGCAGGTAGTTGAGACTTTACCCGATAAGTGGAATATCAACTATATTAACTACCAGGCGCAAGGGAGCATTGGGGAAAAATAAAAATAAAAATCATGAACATCTTGCTTTTTCTAGGATTGAGAAGATTGCTTGCGGCGGGCTAATTAAATTTAGGGGTTGTTTGGTCGAAAGGAAATAGAGCTGCAACAGCTGTTGGGATCAAATTGTAAAAACAAGTCGTACTGTAATTAAAAAGAGAGAGGGAGTGTGTGTATGTATATATATCTATTATTTATTATTCTATTATATTTACTTATTAAATAAAGTTAGCTTTTTGGATCACTTTTTCGGTGTTATACCCTTTTTTGGTCACAATTTCTATAAATCCAAACATGTCCTTCCATCTTGGTATTTTTAAGAAATTTATGGTGAGCAAAATCGGCAAATCAGTAAAATAACATTCAAACCCATCATCTCAAAGATCCCCACATTAACTTTCCACGACACATTTTGAAAAAAAAATGAAAAAAAAAATGAAAAACAAAATCAAAGAAAACCAACCCCAGCATATCCACGCAGTTTAAAACTTTTTAAATTGGTTTTAAAGGACAAAATTGGAAATCCATAAATATCAAATTTAATACCCCAGCATCTCAAAGATCCCCAGCCGATGCGCATCCTAACCTCCTCCTCAAAGATCCCCAGCCTATTCAGGCATAGTGTTGCGAATAGTCCTCCCTTTGCATTTGCCTATGCCTCCTCCCCTCCTCAAAGTTGAAACTTGTGATTGGGTTTCACCTAGGATTCAGCAAACAATCACAAAATATAGACTAAACTTATGCATATAATGTATGGCTAGTGCATGTAATTTAACATTAAAAATAAATTGTAGCTAAAACCCCTTGTGAACTATTGCTTCTACCTCTACCTCTTCTCTCTAATAACATTGATGTTGGTGTCGGAATATATTGTCTTGTCATTTCCTCTACCGATTGACCAATCCTATTCTTGCTCCCCTTTGGTCTCCCTCTCTTTCTGGTTTGACTTGTACCCTCAGTTGCCACTTGTGATATCTGAAAAGTGCACAAACAGTAAAAAATGTACACATATGATATCATAATGGAAAAATAAATTTACATCCACGAAAAGATAAACTTACTTGTATATTTTTAGTACTTGTTGTTTGAGCAGGTGGGGGTGGATTTGGACATTTCCTCCTTGTATGGTCAGTTGACTTACATTGCCCACACTTCTTTGGTATTCCCTGCCTTGAAACCTTATATGTTGTCCTTGATTCTTCATTGGGGTCCCTTCTTCTTGCAGTCTTAGGTCTCCCCATTTTCCTCTTTGCAATATTAGGTGGCAGTATCATTCCCTCTTCCTCTTTATCCCAAAATCTGCTACCTTAAACTGGACTCAACAAGTTGGCATATGTGGCTACATAGTTCTACGTTTTATACCAATAATCTTTAGGCATCTGTCTCATTAATAGGATAGCACTTATAGCATGAGCATATGGAATGCTTGACAACTCCCATTCTCTACATGAACATGTTATATTACCCAAATGAATTTTATGACTGACCCCTCGATGAATGACTTCAAAGCCACTTTCATCCATTTTTCCATTCCAATGTGGTTGACAATAAATTTGCTCATCATAAGCATCTTTCAACTTTTTTTTTTAAATTCTAGGAGTAATCCCACCCACAAACTTGTTAACCAGTTTACTTCTTTCTTCCATTCTACCCATTAAAGCCAATCTAATATCCTCTAACATAGATATTATAGGTTTATATCTTGCAAGAAGCATGAATGAGTTGAATGTCTCAGCCATATTGTTATCTACACTGTCACATTAACTATGGAGTTTAAAGTGGAACTTACAAAATGTATTGGGATCCCTTGCCATAAAGTCAGCCAATGCTTTATCAGATAATTTACTCAAGTTTGCTACTTCAACTAAGAAATTTATCTTTGTTGTGGCTTTAACACACTTCCAAAACTACTTTTGAAGTTACCTACCACCATGAAATTTTCTTCAGTTAGAGTAAATATGCATAACATATTGCCTATGCTCTATGTTAGACCATATTTCATGAATAGCTGGAACTAGTCCCTACAAATTAACAATATATCAGAACAATAATATATATAATACACCAGGAAACAAAAAAAATACAATAATATGCATACCTTTTGTTGATCTGACATAACAATCCAACCTTCACCATCTCTCATCATCAAATCATGTGTCAATAGCCTCAGAAACCACTCCCATGATGATTTGTTCTCTCCCTCAACCACGGCTCATGCTATTGGCCACATTTGGTTGTTAACATCTCTACTAACAACACGGAATAATTGACCTCCACAAGCATGCTTTAGAAAGCATCCATCAAGACCAAAAATAGGTCTACACCACTTGACAAATCCCTCCTTCAATGCAGAAAAGCACACATAGATTCTTTGAAATGTGCATGGGCCTCATTCTCCACCAAACACTTTAAGCACATATGTACTCTCCTCATTTGATCTATAGATTTCCTTCACATAGGGTTTAAGCAACCCGTATTGTCTTGTCATCAATCCCTCTATAGCATTCAATGCCTTATCCTTTGTCCTCTGACATTTTTTAAGATTGACATTAATCTTATAATTGTCATTTATTTCTTGACAGATATCTCTTGGTTTCATCTTGGGATTTCTTAAAATTTTATCAAGATACTCATGTGCCACCCAATTTTCTGTAATAAACCTATTCTTAAATATTCTAGTGTAAGTGTGTAATGGCTAAATGCTTTTAGTTTGCCAAGCTTGTTGATCTTCAGAATCAGGCCCACCATTTATTTCCCAGTAGCACAATGAACAACCAACATTGATTCTCTTCTTATCATTTTTCATATAAAACAAATCATAATGATTTTGAATAAAGTAGTTAAGAATAGCTTGTTTCAATACCTTCCTTGATGTAAACTTCAATCCAGGTGCAAAGCAGACTAAACTCATCTCCACGTCCTCATTGAAGAAATGATACTTCATCTTCTGCTTCATCCTTATTTTTTTAACTTGAGATTGGGCTTGGGCTTGGGCTTAGGCTTGGGTTCTTCATTGTCACTTTCATCTAAAAGACCTTTATCCTCACTGTCTCTTTGTTCAGACTCATATCCTCCCTCATAATTCAACTAAAAAGATGGCAAATTAGATCTATAGCCTACAAAGCCCATTGTATTCAGCTAACCACCCTCTTCCTCTACTGTATTTGAAGTTGCATTACCTTGAACTTTCTCTGTGTTAAGTGGTTGTGCATTCATGTTAGTAGCTTGTGCATTGTGTACTGCATTTACAACCCCTGTCACTCTACTAGGAGGTCCCTCATCATCATATGCCAATCTAGTACCAACATTGAATGTTATTTTACCAATTGCAGCACATACTATATCCTTATTCACCCTTCTAATTTCATGCAACTCCTCATCATCATTGATCAAAGCCCCCTCAGCTTTACTATCAACCCCCTCCATTAAGTCATCACTACCATATCCAGCAGCTTTGGCACTTTGAGACATACTACTACATACTACTACTGCCCTCATTCACAAGCTTCTGTTTTCCTTTTCCTTTCTCAGCTTTGTCACTAAACTCATCAACATATGCCTCAACATCATCCTCATCTACTTCATCATCAAATAACTCAGTAGGGTCCATCTTATATGTCTCATCTTTCACTAAATCATCATCATCACTAGATGATGAATCTTGGTGTATATGAGTGTTGGTATTGTGTGGACCTTCTACTTGGTTGAAAATTATCTGAGATTGAATAGAATCCTCCTCTTCTTGTTCATCCTTACTTTTTTCCCCTTTTTGGTGTCAACTTCTTTCTCTTTTTGGGTTCGTTATTTTGCATTGGTTGATTCTATTGCATTGGAGCTATTTCATCTTGTGCATTGGCATGGTCTGTGGCTTGTTCTCTTTGACTATTGGTTACATCACTTTGGTTAGGTTGTGATTCCACTTCATTAACATCTGCCACTAACTGAACCCCATCAATACCATGATTTGAATATATCTCCATTACCCTTTCCCTA